CTTGGAATGGCCCATCTACACTCCTCCATCACACTAGGCCCCTTTCAGAGCCTCCAGGCTGGGGCTGGGGTTCTTTCTGCACCGTTCTCATGTCCCCACCTAAAAAACTCAACGATAAACTGCTTTATGCATTCTGCCACGTTCAAAGCACCCAGCACCTGGCCAGGCCAAGCCATGCCAGGGAGTGTTTGCTGAATGAGTAAGTTTATTACTACCGTATAAAACAGGACTTGCGTTTAACTGCTCTAAATTTATATCACAAAAGTTTCAAAGGTTGCCCCTTGAAAATCTGTTCTCACCATTACCACACTCTACCCAATTTTATACTTGTCCATCGTTTTTACTTCCGCCTTCACTTGTCTAGGCTACAGAGACCCTGCCCCAGCCCCTCCAGGACAGCTTCTGTCCCCTGCTGCCAGCCTGAGGAGCTCTCCTCTCCCACCCTCACTGTGAGCACTTTGGAACTTCGTGTACACAAAACAAGATCCGCCTCCAGTCCTCCCCTGGATACAGCACTGTCTGGACTTTGTGGCCCCTGCAGCTTATGGAGATTGTAGAATGCCATTCCTGTGCTCCCACCTGAGCCCCACACTACAGGACAGCTCCACCCAGAAATCCATGGTCACCCCAAACTCTACAGGCCCACCTGGAGGCCATTGTCAACCACCAAAAAGAGACCCTTGCCTCCCATCACGCAGGATCTTGGACCACCTGCCTTGGGGCCTCCACAGCCCATCATCAAATGGACCCTGCCTCTCCATTTCCAGGGGAGTTGGAATCAGGCCAGGATGGCTCTCGGTGCCTCTCCAATCTGCTCTGGCCAGGGCGACCCACCCAAGGAGGTCCTCTCCTGTCTAAAAGCCCCCTCTTGGCTTTAATGCTCCTGTCACCCAAAGATGTTCCCTCACCATTGAACTTAGCCACCAAACCTCATGCCCACTCAGTACATGCTCCCTTGCCTTGCAAGCACCCTACACTCTGCTCGGTTCCCCTGCACAGCCACACATGTGTTTTTCCTACTGTGTTTCCCCGAAAATAAGACATCCTCCAAAAATAAGACCTAGCGCATGGAAAGATAAAACATCCCCTGAAAAAAAGACCTAGTGCAACTTTGGGAGAAAATTTTAATATAAGACTGTCTTATTTTTGGGGAAACAGGGTACCTTCTCAGACTGGCATTCTTTCTCCTTACTGTTTACTTGTCCAAAACCCCATCAGTCCTCATTGTGAACTGGAGTACCCAGAGGAGGGTGCAGATTACGAACAAATAAAACTACAGATGCCATAGATGATCTCTGACCCGACCTCTGAACCCCTCCCTGAGGAGCCAGAATACCTTCAGAGGGTGGGGGTGTGGCAGAGGGCTGAGGGCCTCCAGTGTGGGGGTGGGGCAGCTCAAACCTAGTGTTAAATGGCTAAGGTCAAGTTAATTATTTGTTGTGTGGCCCCAGGCAGGTCATTCACCTTTTCTGAGTCTCAATTTCCTGTCTGTCTTCACTTCCTTACCCAATCTTCCTTGTGAGAGTCATATGAATTACCTGCTCTAAAATGGCTTCATAAGCCGAAACCGGTTTGGCTCAGTGGCTTGGGGACTGATGGAACCCGGGTTCGATTCCGGTCAGGGGCATGCACTTTGGTTGCGGGCACATCCCCAGTGGGGGGTGTGCAAGAGGCAGCTGATCGATGACTCTCTCTCATCGATGTTTCTAGCTCTCTCTCTCTCTCCCTTCCTCTCTGTACAATAAAATATATTTAAAAAATAAAAATAAAAAAATAAAATGGCTTCGTAAATAGTGGGGCCCTCTGTGAGTGGGGGCAGGTGGCTTCCAGGTACCATCAGACCTTCCGGAGTCCCCTTGAAATGGCCCTATTTGCCCCACCTCCTCACCCCTGACAGCTCTCTGCACTTATCATAGATGCATTTTGACTCTTTTGCTTGCTAACCGTTTCACCTGTATCAACGCCTTAGGAACAGGAGCCTTTACTTCTAAGGGTGATTGTCTCTAGTCATGGCTAGACCCACAGAAGCTGTGCACATGCTGACTGTTGGGCCCTTCTTCTTCATCATCATCATCACCACCACCACCACCACCACCACCACCACCATCCCTCTCCTCAGATAATCTAACCAAGGAGTGACCCAGAATCTGCTCAGGAGTGGAGACAGGAAGGACCCTCCTGAGATCAGCATCCTCCCTTCCCCTCCTATAGCTTCCTATTCTGTTTATTACCTTAAAGCTAATATATCTGTATGCATGTATTTTTATATAATGCCCCTAAACTCACACACTTTATACTCACAGCCCTCACTCCTCTCCCCTTAGCTCCTCCTGGCCTGTACCACTGCCCCCAGCTTGTCTGGGTAGGGAAAAGGAGGTATGTCAGGGCATGACAAGCTGAAGTGGACTCCCAGGGCCTATGCTCCCTCCTGCAGAGACCCTGCCCACTCGCCATCCTTTTTAACTCCCTGCAGGTCCTTCAACTCAAGAGTTGCCTCTTCTACCTGGGTCCCTGGGCTCCATCCCCCATTGCCCCTGGCCCCAGTGTCTGCCCTGCCCACCCTTCCCCAAAGCTCTTCCTGCCTCTGGGGAATCAAGAAACTCTGTTCTGCTTGAGGGAACCCACTGGAAATCAGCTTGCAATCAGTCACTTCCCAGACAAATGACCCTAACAAGATTCAACAAGGACTCCAGAGCCTGTCTGCCCCTCAGCCCTTGATTCATGAGGGGCTTTCCCAGGGGCCCCTGTGGCTCTCCCCAAATAAGCAGGAAGCTGTTAGATGCCTGTGGAAGTCTTCATTCCCAGGGTGGGCAGCCTGTACTGCAAATACCTCTGTGAGGCCAGAGTCCTGGCCCTCTGGGCAGAAGAAAAAGTCCCTCTTCTCCCAGGGGAAGGCCGCAGAGCAGAGGGGGTAGATTCCAGCCCCAACTTAGCCCCTGGGCCAGGAGCTTTGGGCTGGCCAACAACTGCACAACCACAGGCCACACCCCTTCCTCAGGTATCCAGGTGACTGTGTTAGCATCCCAACAGTAGAATGAGGTCATGGTTGGTGCCCAGCCCTTTGGCAGCACCATCCACTGGAAGGAGGAAATAGGGAGGCCAGCACATGCCAAAGAGCTCCAGGCCAGGCTGGGTCTCATTCACCAGATGTTGTGGCAATGGTGGGTGCTCAGAGCCAGAGAGCCAGTGGCAAGATCCAAATCACCAGTCCCTCCTAGAGAGCAGTGGCCCCCACTGCAGAATCTTCCCTATCAGGATTGACCCAGAAATGAGCGCCTGCCAGGGAGGGGTCAGCTATAAAAAGAATCCAGGAGACCTTTGCCTTGGGGAAGGACAGCTCCTGGCACAGGGTGAAGTGCAGTAATGGGGCTGGGTGGGTGGTGACAAACGGAAGCCTGTCAATCCTCTCCCCTCTAACTCCTGGAGACCTGGCCACCCAGAGCCTGGATCTTTCCAGAAAGCCAGTCACAAATGGGGCAGGGTCAGAGGGAAGGACAGGAAGCCAGAGGTGTGACGTGTGACAGGGACCAAGAAATGCTAGGGAGAGGGTGACTATGGAGGTAGGGAAGACAAACTCTGGAGGGAGCGGCCAGGAATAGGCCGGGCTGAGTGAAGGGCCCTCCACCCCAAGCCCAGAAAGGCCCCTTTTCCCTCCAGCCTTCCTTCCCCATCGTTTACCCCCAGCTGGCCCCTTTCAAAGAAGCACACACCTTCTCCAAAGCTGATGATCACCAGACCCTCTCCTGAGAGGGGCTCCATTCACACCTAAGGTTTCATGGTCCTGGTCTCCACCCCTGGCCACTGCCAAACCCTTGAGAGTCCTGGGAAAAGGGCCCAGGAACCTATCCCAAACTCCCACCAAAAAAAACCTCACACTGTCAGCCCCGGCACCCTCAGCTCCAGTCTAGCAGGCCTAGCTACCCTCGTGTGGGTGTGTCTGCCACCCAGGCTTGGGGAGGCCCAGCTTACCCACTGGCCCAAATGGCAGTGCACCTAGTCCGGACTGCCCTCCTCTCTGACCCAGCCCTAAGCTCCTGATGTCAAAAAGGGAAAAATACAGATAAAAACCCAACAGGCTCCCATGGAGAGGCTTCCCACGCCCCAAGACAATGGGCCTCCCAATCTCTATGTCCCCTATAAGAGGCCCCTTCCTTCCTGGGAAAACTAGCTTTCCCAGGCTCTCCTGCAACACCTCCAACCAAGCAGAGGCACCAGGAAGTGAGGAGACACACAGACAAACTTCGTTTGCAATAAATGTTATATTGTGTTCCAAGGGAGAATTGGAGAATTGCAGACTTCCTGTCCCCCAAAGAGATCTTCCTGTCCAGGAGGCTAAGGCTTCTGGCTTCAGAGGTTACTGCAGAGACAGGGGTGGATGCAGGAACAGGGAGAGGAGGAAGAGAAGCTGGGAAGAGGGTAGAAGGCAGGTGAGGCAGTAAGAAAGGGAGGGAGAATGAGGGGGATGAGGAGGAGGGGGCTGAGGAAGCTTCTCCATCACTTCCCCTAACCCTTGAGGATCTGGGGGAACCCAACCCCCACACCCCCACACCTCACATCTATAGGTATCCAGAACCCTTTGAAAGGAGAGGAAGGTATGGAGCTTCAGAATGGGGGACGAGAGCCTGGGGAACACAGCTGGGGGGTTCTAAGGTGACAAGGGCATCTGTACATGACTAGGGACAGGAGTGTTGGGGGAGGAAGGAAGATTTAGGACAGGGTCACTGAGGTGGAGAGTAAAGACTTAGGGCTGAGGGTATAAGGATGGGGCAGGGGAGAGTGAGTACAGATCAGGAGGAGGTCAGGGCAGGAGCGGTTTAAGAAGTGGTTTCAGTGGGGGAATGGGAGTAAAGGCTATGGCAGAGAGTTCTCTAAGGAGGGAAGGAGGCTGGGTAATTTGGGGAAGGACAGCTCCTAGCACAGGGTGAAGTGCAGTAATGGGGCTGGGTGGGTGGTGACAAACATTACAGCTGAAGATGAGGAATAGAAAGAATGGAATGCTCACAGGAAAATAAAGACTGAGGCCTGAGACCCAGCCAAGGCTGAGAGAAGCCATCTAAGCATGAGGACTGACCCAGGAATGGGTACTGGGATAGAAATTGACAGAGCACTTCTGGTTTTCACAATAACTGAGCCGGTATCGGAACAAGTGTGCTATACGAATTCTACAGGTTTGGAGAAGTTAACAGATTTTCCCAAAGTCCAACAGAGGAAGAGCCTGGGTCTGAACTGGGACTCCAGATGGGTTTCACCCAAAGTGGGAGAAAGATGGAGGTCAGAGGACAGTCAGATTTTGCCCAAAGAAATCAGGACACGGGGCTGCGTGAGACCTGGGCCATCTCTTGAACTGGACACAGTGCAGGTGGTGCCTTCCTGCTGCCTGGGACAGTGAGGAGGGGATAACACACAGCTCACAGCTGGGACAAGGCCACCTCAGGTCTCTGGATCTGTACCTGCCAGGGTATGTGAGAGAGTGAATGAGAGCAGGGAGCCACCCTGCTCAGACTGGCTGGGAGGTTTCTGCCTCCTGGTCCTCGTTCAGCTGCCTGCCCTGTGGAGAGCTCCGTACCATCCATCCCCCTTTTACCCCCTCACCTTCATATTGGTGTTCACAGTCTCCAAGGCCACGTGCAAGTTTTCCTCCTTGACTTGAGAGAGAGAAAAGCAGAGGGGAAAGCACATGGAGGGAAGGAAATGTGAGTTAGGCAGAACTCAGGGGTTCCTGTGCTTGCCCTGCTAGGGTGGCCTGTGCAGGACATTGGCCTTCGGCAGGACGGACATGGGCAAGCAGGAGGTAAGCTCCCCAGCAGGAGGTATATGTCTGTCCTGGGCAAGGGAGTCTTTGGGTCCTGTCCAGCCCCTGCCCTGCTCCTCCAGGAGGCATGACTCACCTGTTCTGTCATCTTCGAAGCCCACGTTTATAAAAGTCCCCACGGTGTACTCATCACTCAACTGGAACCATTTGCTATCGTAGTCCCAGGACCTGGTTCAGGGTACTCGCGGTCAGGGTAGGGTTGCCAGGTCTGAGACCCCTTTGCCACTCTCACCCCCAACCCCCAAAGAGCTCACCAGACTCCGCCTTGGCCGGGCCTCTTCCGGGAATGGGAGTGCACTGCGAAGACGACCAGGGCGGCCAGCAGCAGCACCACCACCACCAACATGGCCCCCACGAGGCCCCCAACCAGTGCCTTCCAGGCAACAGACATCTCGCAGCGTGGGCCGGAGAACCAGTGCGCGTCCGTGGAGAAGCAGCTGGAGGAGGGAGCCACAGATCACAGACCCTGGCCACCTCCCTGTGGTGTCCATTCGGGGCACTGGGGACACCGCGGGGTGCAAGCAGGTGGGCGGGACCCCACCTTAAGGCGACTGGGGCAGGGGAGGGGGCTAATGGTAGACCCAGCGGGCTGTGGGCGGGACTCGGGCCAGAGCGCAGGCCTCACCGGCACGCGGGCCCGCTCCGCTCCAGAAGGCACTGGCCCTGGTTACAGTCAATGGTGCCAGGCAGGCCTGACGTGCAGTTGGTGACGCAGCGGAGCCTGTTCGCCTCCACCAAGGGGAAGTACCAATCCTCATAACCCTGGGCAGCGGCTCGGCGGCAGATGGCTGGGGTGGGGATAGGGGGCAGACAGACAGAGGAATCATCCACTCTACTCAGGGGCCTGGTTATAACGACTCTGGAAATCGTTATATTTCCAAGAGTGGGGTGTGGTGGGGTAGACCCTAGGATTAGATGAGGGGAGGGCAGGCCCCCAGGATCCCCACCCTCTTCTCATCTCCTCTGCTGCCCCAGGAAGGGGCAGTACTGCCCGGGCCACATCACTGGCCTCCCTAAAAGGTCTCCCCATTCTCCCCAGGGAATTCCAATGGGCAGAAGTCCCTGGGGGAGGGGTCATGGCCTCAGGGGCCACTTAGGCCTTTCCTCACCTTTCACAGTTAGATCCGTCCTGGTGGTGTTGTTCACCTTGATGGAGTCAGGCTTAAAACACAGGGCTGGGGGACACAGGCTCAAGTGGAATCGGGTAGGAGAGGTCAAGGATTCAGGGCCAGGGAAGCAGGGCAAACACAGGGAGGGCAGCAAGGGCTTTGTTGGTAAGGGGGGTGTATGGACGGGCTGCAAGGGAAGAATCCTTTGGCCTTCCTCATGTCTCTGGGATAATCAGGGGTCCTCAGCCATCCTAGAAATCTTAAGAACTGTCAAGGGGTCTCTTTACAGCACCCAAGCTCTGGCAAGGTCCTTCTTAGCCCCACTCTTGACCCAGTTGGCTGTGGGCCTGTGTCCCTTCTCAAGACCTGTTGGAAGTACCACAGGGTTGGCACCTGAGCCCAGGAGACCCCTGTCTGAGATGGAGCAGACTGGGATGGTGGTTGTGACTCTGACTCCTCCCTCCAGCCTCAACTCACTGTCATTCTGGCAGCTGTCCTGATCCTGAGTGAAATTCTGGAGTTCCTCCTTCAAAACTGTCTTCACCTTCTCATACTCACTCCCCAGCTGGACACTGAAGGGCAGCTCCAGCAGAACCAGGTAGTCCACCACGATGCTGCCATTCCTGATGGGATCAAGGGGGTCAGGTATCTGGCCTGCGGCACAGTGATCCTTAGTAGGACACCTCTAGGACAAAGCATGGGTGCACAGGTGTTGGGAGGAAGGGGAGCAGAGGCAATAGGTAGGGATTCCAGGCAGCAACCCTGAGGTGATCAGCCTGGGAAGGCAGGACAAGGAATGATTGCCATTCTCTTGCATTGCCTCAAGCCCTTATCATACCAGGCCATCCTGGGCACTATATCTCGCTCATGCTGACACACCAGCAGACCAGGTACCAACCAGAGAGAGAACAGCTACAGTCCAGACACTAGACTTCCCACCAATCCTCAGGCACTACTCCCTACATGTCCCATGTAATCCCCTCCTTCCAATGAACTCAAAATGTAGGGATGGCGCCCAGCCGCAGTGGCTCAGGGTTGAGGTCACGGTTCGATTCCAGGTCAGCGCACATACCCGAGTTGTGGGCCCAATTCCCAGTGTGGGGTGTGCAGGAGGCAGCCAGTCAATGACTTTCTCTATCATTGATGGTTCTATCTTTCCCTCTCTGAAGGAAATAAAAAAATATACATGTTTATATAAAAAGTATGGATGGCATCCCTCTTACAGAGAAATTGCCCCAGAAAATTATTTCCAAAAAAATCTGCCATGGAGTAATTCCCTTGCATACTCTGTTCATCCCTCTCTTTATGAAATCTGATAATTCCAAAAGCAAGGATTCCAGCCTTTCTTCACAACAACTTACCCCATCTAGCACTACCTCCCCAGCCCCAGAAGAGTCTCCTACCTCAAGGACAGGATCTCCACATTCGTGAACCCCGGCACGTTTTGGTAAATCTTCTGCACCTGAAATGCCAAGGGTCCCCTGGGCTCACATTTGAACCACCAGACCTAAGATCACCAGGGACCCAAGCTGAGCTCCAGGTGAGAACCCATAAGTCCCCTCCTATTTCTCCTCACCTGATGCTTGAAGGTGTTGCTGAAATCCATGTAGGCCTTGGAAGTGTTATCATTAAGCTCCGGGGAGAATTCCTGTTGGACAGACACCTCCATGCCCACTTCGGCGTCCACTGTCTCTGTACACAGAAAGCCCTTTTCTTGTCATTTGATCTTCCATTTGTCTGACATCACCACCCCAACCTAAAGGTTCCTCTCATAGCCCTTCTCCATGTTCCCTGAGGGCTAACTGAATAGCAGGATAGATAGAGGTATGAATTCTGAGATGAGTTGTCCTAAGATGGGAGAAAGAATGAAGTCAGAATGCACAGAAGTCAAGCCAATGGTCCCTCCCTTGTCAGCCCCAATGGGAGGCAAAATAATGGTTCCCAAAGATGTCTATGTCCAGTCAAAACCAGTTTGGCTCAGTGGTAGAGCGTTGGTCTGCGGACTGAAAGGTCCCAGGTTTGATTCCGGTCAAGGGTGTGTACATTGGTTGCAGGCACATCCCCAGTAAGGGGGTGTGCAGGAGGCAGCTAGTCGATGTTTCTCTCTCATCAATGTTTCTAGCTCTCTATCCCTCTCCCTTCCTCTCTGTGGAAAATCAATAAAATATATTTTTTTAATAAAATAAATAAAAATAAAAAAGATGTCTATGTCCTAATGCCAAGAACCTGTGAATATGTTATGCTACATGGCAAGGAGGAACCAAAGTTACAGATATAATTAAGGTTACTAATCAGCTCACTTTAATATATAAAATTAACACAAATTATCCAAAGCCCAATATAATCATAAAATCCTTAATAGTGGAAGAGGAAGCAGGGAAGATCAGAATCAGTCTGAGGAAGATGTGAGTAAGGAAAAAAGTCACAGATGTAGTGCTGCTGGCTTTGAATATGGAAAGAAGGGGCCTTGAGATAAGGAATGTGGAAGGTAGAAAGGAAAAAGAAAGTGATTCTTTGAAAAGGAATGCAGCACTGCTGGAGCCTTAATTTTAGCCCAGCAAGACCCATGTTGGATTTCTAATCTACAGAATTATGATATAAGAAATTTCTGTTGTTTCAGCCACAAGTTTGTTGTAGTTTGTTACAACTGCAATTAGAAACTAATATAGCTCTGAGCAGACAGGCTGGGAGGAGACCCTAGAAGGACTGTGATCCCAGTTACTTCCTGGAGGTGAGGGTAGAAAAGAAGCATGAGATGGGATAAGGGACGGTATGGGAGAGAAGGCAGGGATAAAGGGATTGGGCAAAACAGAATGGGTCCCTCCAGGCCAACCACAGAACTGAACCCAGGGAGAGTCAGTGGCACCTACAAGTACATAGGGTGGGACCCTGGTGACTCACCCACTTCAACCTGTTCCACAGCAAACTCACAGCGGATGCCATAGAAGGTACTGGGGCAGAGGCACTTGACGCCATACCATTGACCTCCATTCTGGCACTTGATCTCCTGGAGCTCACAGCGGTCCCCAGAGAACCCTGAGGGGCAGAGGCAGTGGCCCTGTATCCAGGTGCCACCATTGTCACAGGTGCCTGGGCAGCACAGGAAGAAAGCGAAGTTCAGGAAAGAGCCTGACATTGGTGACACGGGAATTTAGTAGGATAATGGACATGTCAAACCTGGAGTGGTGGTCAATTTAGACTGTATGGTCATCTGAGTAAAGGCTGAAGTTGTCCTGGGTGGCATATAAGTTGTGGAAGTCCGAGTGGTGGTCACTGATGTCTCTAGAGTCCTGTTAGTGGTTAGGGTGGGGCCTGTCAACTTGCTTGACGTCATCATGGTAATTGGAAAGCTGCTGCTTGGTTTCATGGTTGATGGGAAGCTACTGAAATTGGACATACGTGATGTGGTGCTCTCGCTGGTGGGTCTTGGTTTGCTCGTCAAAATTGTGTTAATGGGGACAGTCCCAGGGCTGGTAGATCTAGCAGCATCAGTTATAATGCTGGTGGGGTCAGTTTCCTGAACTGAAGTAGAAGTGTCCATATGTATAGGAAATACAGTTGTCATACTAGTGAAACTAGGAGGGGTGGTGGCAAACTCAGTAGTAGAAGTAAACACTGATAATGGAATGGTGGGTATAGAAGTAACTTTACCATTAGGATCAATTTCTATGCATGGAGTAGTGGGAGAAGTAGGCACTATTGTAACTGATATCGATTCTGGATAAGGGATAGTGGAGGAAATAGTAAAAGTGGTGGTTGTTTTAGTAGAAGAGGTTATAGGAGAAAGCATGGATGGAGAAGTTCTTGTAGTTAAAGATGAAGACGTAGGAAAAGCGGTGACAGAAGAAGAACCTCTGTTTCCTGTACTGGAGGAATGTGAGGAGATAGGAGAAAGGTTAGTAGTAGTAATGAGCACAGAATTTTCACTGGTGTAAGAGAGAGAAGGGGACATTGTCATAGTGGAAACTAAAGATGAGATGATGGTACTGAAGGAAGTGGTTATTGCATTTGTGGATGTACTCAATATAGGATGAGATGATATGGTAGAAATACTTGAAGAATTATACAATGTCGTCAGGGTGGTACTTGTTCCCATGTTTGTGGACACAGTCCCTGATGTTCCTGAAGTTGAGTCAACAATTTCACTAGACGTGATTGTGTAAGGGGAAATGCTAGTAGAAGAAGTACTGATATCAGTTGTGGATGTGTGCCAGGTGCCAGAGATAGAGGCAGACGGGGCTGTTGTGGATGTGGGTGTGCTACCTGTGGAGGCGCTCTCTGAAGTAGTGATGTCTGGAGTACTTGGCATGGGTGTTGTTCTCATGTCGGTGGTAGATGTCGTGGATGTTGTCTCAGTGGAGGGAGGGAGGGAAGTTGCTGTGATGGAGGTGGCAGGGGTTGAAGTGGCAGCAGAAGTGGGTGTTTCCACTGTGGCCATGGTGATGGCACTAGAGGAAGGTGTGGGGATAGAGGTGGCCTGGGTAGTAAAGGGTGTGGTAATGAAGGTGGACACGGCGGTAGAGTTTGTGGTGAGAGTGGACACTGGCTGTGTTGCCGAGAGTGGTGGCAAAGTCGGAAGCACAGTGGTGGTGGGTGTCAAGGTCCCGGTGGTCGCTGGAGTAGAGGTGGTGGATGTCGCAGAAATGACTGTGCTCATGGGAGTGACTGCGGACGTCATTGGGGGAGGAGAAGTTATCCCTGTTGTGACAGGCCCTGTAGAAACAGCACTGGTGGGAGTAAGTGTAGTTGTCCAGGTAGATGTGGCATGAGAGGTTGTGACCATGGCCTTGTCTGTCTGTGTTGGGACTGCAGTGGAGGACGGTGTTTCCGGGGTTGTGACTGTCGTTGTGGTTGTCGCCGTGGAGTATGGGATAGACGTACTGGAGGACAGGGTGGCTGCAGTGGTTGTACTCAGTGTATTGGTGCTGGTTGCAGGTGAGGTGGGGGTCACTGTGTGAGTGGTGCTGCCAGTGCTGGTGGATGTGGAAGAGGAGTCTGCCGATGTCACTGAAGTGCTGGTTGGGAGAGAGGGAGTTGGAGTGCTGTGGGTCACGGTAAACGTGGCCGTCATGGAAGGTGATGTGGCGGAGGTTGTGGGGCCACTGGCGGTTGCTTGGGTGTATTCTGTGGTGGGGGAAGATGGGGTTGCAGTTGTGGATGTCTGCCAGGGGCCAGAAGTAGAGGCAGATGGGGCTGTTGTGGATGTGGGTGTGCTACCTGTGGAGGAGCTCTCTGAAGTAGTGACGCCTGGTGCACTCTGAGTGGCGGTTGGCATGGGTGTTGTTCTCATGTCGGTGGTAGATGTCATGGATGTTTTAGATGTTTTAGTGGAGGCCATTGTGTTTAAAGGAGTTGTTGATGCCGCAGTGGATGCTGTTTTAGGTGTAGGGAGAGTCGTAGGTTTGTTTTCTCTGCCTCCAGGAGTGGGAGAAGCAGTTTTGGGGGTGCTGAGCCACCACCACATTGTGCCTTTGGGTCGTAGGGAGTTGCTAAGAGCAGTATGGGCTGGTTCTTCACTGGGGAAAAGTGCATTAGAAGTGGATGTGGCCATGGAGGAAGCTCCTGAATGACAATAGAACAGACAAATTCATTTGTAGTTTGTTTCATCATCATAATGCCACTTAGGTTATTCACTACCCCTTTTTTCAGATATATATATCATAGAAGGCAGGAAGTGCTATCACTTAAGTCCCCCATCAAAGACACTTTGAGGCTGGGGACTTTCAGGTTCTAAAGGCCAATATCTGTCTGTTCCTCAGGGCAGCCTCTCCAAGGCAGGGGGAGGGGGCACCCTCAGTACCTTGACAGCCTCATCTGATTGTCTGACCTTCCAGCCCTGGGATGGCTGCATACAGGTTCAGCAGAGTCTCCTGCCTCCTCCCCTCACCACTCTCACACCTTCCTTCTCACACACCCAGTCCTTCCATTTCCCTACTCCACTTGCTACCTGGAAGTCCTTGTCCCTACTGGCTCTCTTTCCCTACCCTTTGGCCCATCTCTAGTGTTCTCCTTGTAACTCAGTGCTGTCTGGTGACTCTCCTATTCAGGAGAGATAGAGAACCGAGCCAAGTGAGGCTGGGGGTGGGGACACATCCTTGGTACAGGTGTCAGAGATGGGAAAGCTGAGGTGTCAGAGACGGGAAATGAGGTGTCAGAGACGGGAAAGCTGCTTAGAAAATAGCTAAGGGAAGACCAAAGACTGAAGCTCAGTCTCTGCTGAGATTGAGAGACAAGGAGAGAGGACCACTCAGGATGAGGTACACAACAGAGAAGGACACTTCCAGAGAGATACCTCAGCATGCAAGCATGAGTCCTGAAAATCTTAAGGTTTATTTTGAGTGTTAATAAAAAAAAAAAAAATAACACAGTAATTATTCAAGGCACCTTTAAAGATGACATAGCCAGAGTGAGAGATTCCCTTTGCTTCTCTCCCTGAAATTTCAACAAGTTAACCAACAATAATTCAACAAAGAATTCCTAAGACTCATGCATTGAAACATCTAAACAGGGAGAGGAGAAGGGAAGAAAGCCCAGACAGCTCGCAGAAGCAGCCCTATAGCCAGGAGCTCATGGCTCAGCCAGGGAGGGGAGGAAGCTGGCAGTAGCAGGTGCTTCCTTCAGCCAGAAGGAACAGAGAGCTTGGGGGGGAGTGGGGAAGGGGCACTCCAATAGGGCTAGTGGAGCGAACAGTGACTGTGAGCCAGCAGATGCCTGACAGAGCATGGGGTTCTGCCAGCTGCTCTCCACTTTCAGGCCTGGTGATGACGGTTTAGGCCTGACAAAGAAATGAAATCACAAGGCCATGCCAGCCCTTGGACTCTCAAAACTCGCCTTCCTTTGCACTTGAGGAGCTTATAATCTGTAAACAGCTATTGCAGTAGAACTGCTGTTTTCCTCTATGATTGACCTCCAGGTGGGGTGCTTCAGGTGAGACCCCACAGAGGTCAGGGGACACCATTACCACGAGGCAAAACAAACCCCACCCCCAAGCAGCCAGGCTATACTATCTTATGGAAGCAGTGGAGGTAAAGTCTGGGAGATGACAAAGGTAAAATATCTTATGATTCAACACCATCTACTAGAAATTAGTAGAAAGACTTTTTGGGCTATTGAACATTAATATAGACAGATATGCATGCCTAGACAAAGGAGAATTGCAAATACCATGAATACCCATGGTTATAAGGATGATCAGAAAGAGAATGAAAAATCCCCAGAAAGCAAGGTGAAACACATGGAAATATGTGATATAAATGACAGAGATTTCAAGATTGAAAATGAAAATATTCAATGAGATGCAAGAAAATACAGACAAATAATTCGATGCACTCAGAAGACAAGTCAATGAACAAGTATTTTACCAAAGAAATTGAAACTTTAAAACTATCAATCAGCCCTATCCAGTTTTGTTAAGTGGTTAGAGCATCAGCCCACAGACTGAAGGGCCACAGGCTTGATTCCAGTTAAGGGCACATATCTTGGTTGCAGGCTCAATCCCGGCCATTGGTCAGGGTCCATGCAGGAAGCAACCAATCACTGTCTCTCTCTCACATCCATGTTTCTCTCTCTTTGTCTCTACCCTTCCCTTCCACTCTCTCTGAAAATCAATGGAGAAAATATTCTCGGGTGAGTATTAACAGCAACAACCAAAAGAACCAATCAGAAATCCTGTAAATGAAGCATGCAATTAAGGAGATTAAGAGAAAACTACTGAGCATAGAAAACAGAGCCAACCAAATGGAGGAAAGAATTAGTGATATCAGTTGTAGGCTCCTATCAGGAATCTAGAAATTACGCAGAGGTAAGAAGAGAGAGATCTGAGCATAAAGAAAAATGAAAGAGCTCTATGAAAACTATCTGACTTCATCAGAAAAAGCAATTTTATTTATTTATTAAAGTATTTTTAAATATATTTTATTAATTTTTACAGAGAGGGAGAGGAATAGACAGCTAGAAACATCGATGAGAGAGAAACATCGACCAGCTGCCTCCTGCACACCCCCTATTGGGGATGTGCCCGCAACCAATGTACCTGCCTTTGACTGGAATCGAACCTGGGACCTTTCAGTCCTCAGACCAACGCTCTATCCATTGAGCCAAACTGGTTTCTGCAATTTTAGAATAATAGGCATTCTGGAAGAGGAAGTGAGGGATAAGGGAATGGTGAATCTATTCAAACAGATAGTGGGTGAGAACTTCCCAAACCTATAGAAGAACTAGATTTCGAATCCAAGAAGCAAACAGAATACCTAGTTACCTCTCTCCAAAGAGGTCCTTTCCAAGGCCCTCTTGTATTAAAACTGTCAAAAATTATTGACAAAGAAAAAATGTTCAAAGCAGCCAGGAAAAAGAAGGAAGTTACCTACAAAGGAAAACCCATCACATTCTCAGCAGAAACTCTACGAACCAGAAGAGAGTGGAAACAAATATTCAAATATCTGAAAGAGAGATGACCAGCCACGAATAATACAGCCAGCAAAATTATCCTTTAAATATGAAGGAGAACTAAAGACATTCCCAGATATACTGTTTTGCTCAGTGGTTAGAGCATTGGCCTACAGACTGAAGGATCTCAGGTTCAGTTCCAGTCAAGGGCACATATCTCAATTGTAGACTCCATCCTCAGCCCCAGTCAGGGTGGGGGAACATACAGGAAGCAACCAATTGATATATCTCTCTCACATTCATCTTTAGTTTTAACAACAACAACAACAGCAAACTTAACAGCATTGAACAGGGATAATTTGTGAAACAAAAACATAAAAGAGGAGGGTTTACTGGTAAAGGTCTGAAATGGCAAAAAAGGATGAATCAGATGCACTCAAAAGAAAAAAAAAACTGTAAATATACAACTTTATTGTTTATAAACCTAATGGAAACCACACACAAAAATCCCCAAATCAGACACATAACTTCATTTTTTTTATTTAATAAATCTTTATTGTTCAGATTATTACAATTGTTCCTCTTTTTTTCTCCTTAGTTCCCTTCCATCTGGTTCCCACCCACCCACCACCCTTACTCCCACACTATCCTCATCCATAGGTGTACAATTTTTGTCAGTCTCTTCCCCAACCTCCCACACCCCTTTCCCCCCCAGAATTGTCAGTCCACTCCCTTTCTATGCCCTTGATTCTATTATATTCACCAGTTTACTCTGTTCCTTAGATTTTTAATTCACTTGAATTTTAGATTCATTTGTTGATAGATATGTATTTGTTGTTCATAATTTTTATCTTTACCTTTTTCTTCTTCTTCCTCTTCTTTAAGAATACCTTTCAGCATTTCATATAATACTGATTTGGTGGTGATGAACTCATTTAGCTTGTTCTTATCTGTGAAGCTCTTTATCTGACCTTCAATTGTGAATGATAGCTTTGCTGGGTAAAGTAATCTTGGTTGTAGGTTCATGCTATTCATCACTTTGAATATTTCTTGCCACTCCTGGCTGGCTTGCATAGTTTCTGTTGAGAAATCAGCTGACAGTCGTATGGGTGCTCCCTTGTAGGTAACTGTTTTTCTCTTGCTGCTTTTAATATTCTCTCTGTCTTTTTCTCTTAGCATTTTAATTATTATGTGTCTTGGTGTGGTCCTCTTTGGATTCCTTTTGTTTGGGGTTCTGTGTGCTTCTTGAACTTGTAAGTCTATTTCTTTCACCAGGTGGGGGAAGTTTTCTGTCATTATTTCTTCAAATAGGTTTTCAGTATCTTGCTCTCTCTCTTCTTCTAGCACCCTAAAATTCGGATGTTGGTACATCTGAAGTTGTCCCAGAGGCTTCTTACACTATCTTCAACTTTTTGTATTCTTTTTCCTTTTGCTTTTCAAATTGGGTGTTTTTTGCTTCTTTGTATTTCAAATCTTTGACTTAATTCTTGTGATCCTCTAGTCTGCTGTTAGATCGCTGTATAATATTTTTTATTTCAGTCAGTGTATGCTTCATTTCTAGTTGGTCCTTTTTCATATCCTTGAGGGTCTCGTTAAATTTATAGGCCTTTTCTAGAAAATTCTTGAAAAACCTTATAACCGTGGTTTTGAACTCTATATCCAGTCACTTGTTTTCCTCCATTTCTTTCATTTGTGATCTTTTCTTTGTCTCCACATTTTGGCTGCTTCCCTATGTTGACAGAATGGCTTTGTGTGATAGGTGTCCTATAGGGCCCAGTGGCCCAGCCTCCCAATTACCTGAGGTGGATACTCTTGGTGCATCCTTTGTGGGCTGTATGCACAGTCTTGTTGTAGTTAAGCCTTGATTGTTGTTGGTATCACAGGGATGAATTGACCTCCAGGCCAATTGGCTGTGAGGATCAGCTGTGTCTACACTGAGAGAACTTCTGTGCTGGAGACACCCTTATGAGACAAGACTTGCAAAAGCCTCTGTGC